ATTAGTTAATTTGTAGGTTTGAAAGAGAATATGAATTTGTAGATGTAAATTTGTAGATTTCATAGATTTAATAATCATTATTTATCGTCATTTTTATTACCGCCTGTTGAACTTCTGAAAGCATAGTGTGTGCATTTAGGGAAACATACCTGAAACTTTTGATGCGAAGTCAGACACTGTTTCCCAAAGTCGGTTCACCAAATTTTTTGGCTCTCTCGGAAACAAGTCAGGTACTGCAGATTTTAACGTAAAATGTAATTATTTTTGTTCACATAAAAACTTCTCGTCCATCTATTTGATTCGGACGGTTATTTTCACCATTTAGGAATGAAACTAAGCATTCGTAGGTATTTCACGAGTTCAAATAACAGGAGACCTAACTGCTTCCGGTGTTAGGGAGCGAATTGGGGATAACACTATTCGTCCTAGTTTACAGAATGATGGAACGGATGTTCAGCAGATGCAGCCCTGGCAGATTAGTGAAGAGAGTAATTCTTTATTTTCGCTCTCAGTATCAGTGTGCATAGAATAGATTAGTAGAAGTCAAATATGGCAAATAAAAGAAACCAAACGGCTTAGCTTAATACAGCAAGTATGTGAGGCTGGTAAGCATTTGATAACGTTTCTTGCTGTACACTACAGACCTTCAGGGCAAAATTTACTGTTGAGGTAGTTACAGAGGGTTGACCCCCGCTGATTTCACCATGCCAGCTACATTCTTTGACCGTATTCAATGTTTCATGGTCAGTGGTTTTTTTGCAGTAAGGAATTGCAGTCATCGAAAGGGATTATTTTCCTTAATCGCCTGTGTAAAAAGCAGAGGCTATTTTTATTTGTAGTTGAAAATTCACCCTCAGTGCATGATAAGAAAAGATGAGTTGATCAGAAAAGTTGACTATGCTCATAGAGGCACTTATGCAGTGCCGTGAGGTGAAAGCAGTACGCGTCAACCGCTTCTCTGCTAAACCACTCCGGAACGTCGACCAAGCGGTAGAAATTTTATGCACACGGCTCCTGAAAGTTCGGACCATCAACCCTGGTTTTGCTGTCAGGAGTTCGGGCAAACTTCGTGAGATGCAGTGTTTCAGAACTCTCCACCATGACGTGACTGTCATAAGATCTAGTGATGCATTGGTTGTTTTAGATACTAACAACAATGATAACTG